GTTATCCACTTGAGTCGACTTGAGCTTGTGTGCCTTCTTCACATCTCCCGCACGCCCTCCCACTTCTAAAAGCGTAGCAGCGTAGCGCTGAGGAAAGCACGCATGACATGAAAGTACACGTTTTTCGCATTGGCACCGGCCCATCAAGCTTCGAAAGGCATCCTCTCGTTCTCGTAGACGCGACGCGACTTTGGAAGCATGGCAGACTCCAAGGTGAAGGACATGGGCCTGGCCGAGTTCGGCCGTAAGGAGCTCACCTTGGCCGAGCATGAGATGCCCGGTCTCATGGCTGCTCGCAAGGAGTTCGGCCCCGCACAGCCTTTCAAGGGCATGAACATCAATGGCTCCCTGCACATGACCATTCAGACGGGTGTGCTGATCGAGACGCTGTCCGCTCTGGGTGCCAAGGTGCGCTGGTGTTCGTGCAACATCTTCAGCACACAAGATCATGCGGCCGCAGGCATTGCTAAAGCCGGAACTGCAACGGTCTTTGCGTGGAAGGGCGAGACGCTGCCAGAGTACTGGTGGTGCACGGAGCAGATGATGACAGTGCCAGGAGCTGATGGCTGCGACCAGCTGGTGGACGATGGCGGTGACGCCACGCTTCTGATCCACAAGGGTAAAGAGTTTGAGGAGAAGTTCGCCAAGGACGGCAGCCTGCCAGATCCCTCCAGCACGACGAACGCGGAGTTCAAGTGCATCTTGCAGCTGCTGCGTGACTCCATCCAGGTGGACAAGACCAAGTACTCTCGCATGGCGGCCAAGTGCAAGGGAGTCAGTGAAGAGACTACCACAGGTGTTCACAGACTGCGAGAGATGGCCGCCAAGGGCGAGCTGCTCTTCCCGGCCATCAATGTGAACGACTGTGTCGCTCGTTGTCCATGGACAGTTTTTGACGTGCTTTCGTCATGCGGACCCCGACTAAATCCCAAATGTCAACTTTAAACTCAGCTTTCAGCCTACATACCAAGATGGGGGCATCTGAGGTTACAAAATCCAAGTTCGACAACGTCTATGGCTGCCGCCACTCGCTTCCCGACAGCATCATGCGCGCTACGGACGTGATGATCGGTGGCAAGCGTGCCTTGGTGGCTGGCTACGGAGATGTGGGCAAGGGCTGCGCCTTCGCCATGCGGGGTGCGGGCGCTCGTGTGCTCGTCACTGAAATCGACCCCATCTGCGCGCTGCAGGCGTGCATGGAGGGCTTCCAGGTCGTGACCCTTGAGGAGGTCGTGGGAGAGGTTGACATTTTCACATCTGCCACCGGCAACTTCAAAATTGTCACTCTGGAGCACATGAAGAAAATGAAGAACAATGCCATCGTGTGCAACATCGGCCACTTCGACAACGAGATCGCCATGGAGGATCTGGAGAAGTGCCCCGGCATCAAAGTGGAGAACATCAAGCCGCAGGTTGATCGCTTCGTCTTCCCAGATGGCCACGGTGTCATAGTGCTGGCCTCCGGACGCCTGGTGAACCTCGGCTGTGCGACCGGCCACCCATCCTTTGTGATGTCCTGCTCCTTCACCAACCAAGTGCTGGCGCAGCTGGACATCTTGGAAAACTGCACAAAGGCCAAGAAGTACAAGAACGACGTGTACTTGCTGCCAAAGAAGTTGGATGAGAAGGTGGCCGCACTCCACCTGCCTGCGCTTGGCGCCAGCATGACCAAGTTGAGCAAAGAGCAAGCCGACTACATCGGTGTGCCTGTTGAGGGGCCTTTCAAGCCAGACACGTACCGCTACTAAGTGGCGTGTTCCGTCGATTTTGTGCAGCCGCTGCCACGCGCTGTCCCCTTTCCTTGGCGCCATGACAGGTGGCCTGCCTGAAAGTGAATCCCAAGCGAGAGGCGACTGGCGCCGTGCAG